ATCAATTCCCAAAGACATGTTGTAAATTATTACCAAATAAGAGAAATAATCAACTGTAATCCACTGAAAATAGAGTAAGGAACACTGAACCAAAATAGGAAACTACTGTAGCAGTTGGAAAGTTATTGTTGCAGCCGGAAAATATTCAAAGTGGTCAGAATGAAATAAAAACAGTAGGGGTAGGATCGGAATTACCAGAAGACCCAACTGTTCTGAAGGAACTTTTTCAAAAAATGGCCGGAAGTCCACTTCTTTTTTTTAAATCACTATTCACGCCGGAAAAATAAAAAAGTGGTCGGAATTTGGTGTAACCTGGATGGGTAGGCTCGGAATTGCAAGGGAAACAATCTGTCCTGAAGAGTCGTCGCCAAAAAATGGCCGGAAGGTGGCCCACGCAACGTTGGAACTTCGCCGGAAAATTTTCTTTGGACAGCTACAGTACCGCCGGAGATTTTCACTGGGATTTGGTCGCCGGACAGTGACTACTCTTGTGGTAGTGTTGGATTTTGTGCACAACACTGACCGAGACAAAGCAGACGCAAAACAACTTTGAAAGTCGCCGGAAAAAAAGGGTTTCGGTGACTGCTTTTACTTCCCGGAATCGCTGAAATTTATGCACAGCGATAAATCTCTCACGATAGCTCTGATACCATGTGAGAAGGCACGGGAGAAAATATGATATATTGATATTGTATGTGATGCAATACAAGAGGTGCTATTTATAGCTACTCTATACAAAGGGGATACTACTCCTATTCCAATGTGGGACAATTACATAGCTATCTCTAAACAATTTTTAAAAATAAATAAATAAATTGAGCACAGCTCCACATATTCCACCTGTTGAAGGTCAAGAGAATTAATGATACTATATGTGCCCAGATTCAGAATACTTCTTGATTCACAAAATTTTCTTAGATAGCATAGAATATTCTGCATTTATAGTAGAGCATTTACAATTTTTTGGATAAAGTATAATTGAATATTTGCTTACCCAGTTAAGAGAAGACTATAACTACTTAACTTATTATATGCAACCCAAATCTTCTATATATGGAGCCTCTCTTACACATTGTTGTAGAATCAAGTCATTAAGCAGTTATTTCTCCTTCAATTTTCTCTTTTCATAATATTCTTGTCTCAGTTCGGTGGCAGTTCGGGAAAAACAAATTGGAGGCCATTCTAGCAGCATTGCTATTATTTCTGTTGCTCGTTCTGATGCAATCGCCCATTATCGTTGATCATTCCAATGACATCGTCACCTCCAAGAGCTATTCGACCACTTTTTAATGACTTCTCAAGCAAACCATTTTCCCAAAAGCTACTATTTAGATAAGAAAAGAAAGAGCTTGCTAGTTGTTTCTTCTTGTATGTATACATGCATAAATACAGAAGATATGAACCTCTCACCACTTCAAGTTAGTGTACACCATTAATCAGCAAATCCAACTGTCAAAAACGTATTTCACAAAGTATGATACATGATTAAAAACACTAACTCTTCAAGGATAATTAACTCATGTAAATGAGTGTGTGCGCGTGAATGAAATAGAGGATGTGTTGCCAAAAATAAAACACACAACCAAATAGAAACAAACGTCCAAATAGCTATTCTTACTGTATAGCTATATGCACAAGAAACTTCTGAAACTCCCATAAAACGAGTATGACAAAGAAGCAGGAAGAAATCATAAAGTTACAATACAAGCTCTGAAGTTGAGCAAATAACTTGCAATGACAGGATTTAAATCATTTTCCACGATGATGTGATGTGAGTATCAGCAAAGTTTCACAGAACACCAAAATTAGGAAAAAACTGAAAGAGAGCAAACATACTTGGGTTATCATTTCTGGGCGGATAGATTGTTGAAGAACAGACAGAGAACCATTCTTTCCGTGGCCTGAACAGCATACCTAACAATATTCCAAAGTGATTATGAAGATATCATACTGGCCCAAAAAACAAGTAATAGAGCATCCAAAAGTGATAGAATTTCAATAATAACAAACTTACTACATCTCATTTTAGGTTTTTGCAGTTCGGCCATTAGAATGTTTCATAAACTTCAGCAAAAATAACAACTATCAACGCATTATGAGTTTCAAGAGCTAGAACCTTTGACCAGAAGATGATTATCGTTTTTTATTTCTCTTTTTATAACCGAGAAAACCCCTGAAGGCAGTGCTCCACAGTTGAAAACTCGATTGGTAATGGCCCCTCTACCCTTGTCCACTTAAATACCAGGCTTTTGTTAGTAGCGATTCGAACCCAAGACGTGCACCTAATCCACACATCACGCACTCTTACCACTTGACCCTAGGGGCTTATTTCTCATATTTTTACTAGAATTACGACCAAACATGATTTGTGGAAGAATGAAATTACAAGACAAAAATATAGCCTAGAGAGGTGTGTTGTATTTAACGACCACCACATGATTCTATGGTTCTATTTGAATATTATACATAGAAGTTAACATCCTTTTTCTTTGATGTTACAACTTGAAAACAAATATGTGAAATTCTTCTGCATGAAGAAAGCTAACAGGCAAACACAAATCAGTTGTTTACTTGATCAAAATAAAAGAGGATCAATCAATTGTTATCAAAAGGCTCTAAAAGGAACAGAAAAACATCAATCTCATCATAATCTTCTCCAAAAAATCATTACCTCCAATTATCAAATATATATTCAGAGTAGAGTTGCTGATTAATTTTGATGGATGACATAGATATCGATCCTCAAAAAGGACACTTGGAGGTCGAATGGCATATCAAAGGAGCCTTTTCGATGAAATCTTTTTATTGCAGACTACTAGCGAATGATGCGGAACTGCTGCATATCATCATTTGGATAACCAGAGCTCCAGCGAAGGTGTGTTCTTCATGTGGCTGGCAACTAGGTATACACTCCACGCGATGGGTATCTCAGGAAGAGGACAAAGTTTGCATGCTAGTTGATGGTACATGTGTAAAACGTTGGGAGAGACCGTGAATCGCCTATCCATTATCAAGCGGCAAACCGCTAATGGTAGACAGCTTTGAACCTTACGCCAGAAACGGTGAAGAATGTACTGACCAGCAAGTCATCAAATGGAGTAGGAGAAAGAGAAGGAAAATTAGGGTGATAGTTCCTTTGGCATGGATTGTTTATAACGTGAGAAACAAATATGCTCTTCATACGTTGGAATAACGTTGTTCGGGCTCTTAAAGAGTTAAAGTTGGTGGTCCTTTGATTAGGGTACTTCATATGGTGGATGGGGAGAGAAAACCACCAATGGGCTATCTTTATGAAGTTGTGGATAGAGCCAAAAAAACTATTGAAGCGTCATTTGAGGGAGACCTGAGGAAATATGAAAAAGTTTTTGAGATCATTGATAGAAGGTGGTCGGATCAACTCCATCGACCTATGCATGCAGCAGGCCATATTGTGAACCCAGGATTGTTTTACAAGAATAACAGAGATCGCATTTTAGATTCAGAGGTGTGGGTTGGATACCATAAATGTATTGAGAAGTTGGTCCCCGATGCAGCGATAGTAGATCAAATAGGGGAGGAGTTTGGTAAGTACACACAAGCAGATGGCCTATTTGGTTTACAGGCGGCTATTAGAGCCAGAGACATAAGGTCACCAGGTAACTAACTTTAATATAGATGTCCTTATAGCTTTAATTTAATTTATTTGATTTATTTATACTTATTAACTTTTAAAATATTTTTCTATAGTTGAATGGTGGATGCAATTTGGTCATCAAACTCCAAACTTGCAAAAGTTTGGCGTCAAAGTACTAAGTTTAACTTGTAATGCATCTGGATGTGAGAGAAATTAGAGCATATTTGAGCATGTAAGAAGCAAATTTATTATATTAATATGTTATATATTGTATTATTATTATTATCTATTAATTACTCTCTACAACTTATGCGCAGATTCACTCCAAGAAAAGGAATAAGCTTGAGCTATCGCGTCTCAATGACCTAGTGTATATTAAATACAATAGAACATTGAAGCGTTGACGCTCGCGATACCATTGATCCAATTTTGTTGGATAACATTGACAAGGCAAATGAATGGTTAGCTGAAGCCCCCCAAAATCATGAAGATGAACAAGTGTAGGTAGGAGATGATCTCGATTGGGGTATTGTTTCTAGGGCGGTTGGAGTTGAGGAGAATATTTGTGGTCTAAGAAGGAGTTCTTCAAGTTCAAATAATAAGGGAAAGGGAGTAGCTACAAGTTCAAGTCAGTCCCTAATTGATGAAGACTTCGAGGATGACGAAGATGATAGCCAATATAAGGCCAACATTTTTGAAGTTCAAGAATTTGAAAATCTTGAAAAAGAATAGATGTTGCTTTATGAATTTACTATGACTATCTATTGAGTTTTTAATTTTTGATTTGATATATTTATTAATATATTATTGCTATATAATATTTTATTTTTTTTGTATTAATTGTCGCTTCACATCTTCACTTCTTGCCTCTCGCCTCAGTGAAGCGAGCCATCATTGCTATTTGTCGCCTCACGATATCCAAAACACTGATCTACTTTATGTTGGCTTTTGGATAATTTAACGTAACATGTAAGCAATAGATTGCTCACTAACTTAGTGAAGTCAAACTAGTTATACAAAATGGTAGAGAGAAGACAAGGTGGTACGGTATTTTAGAAATGAGGATGTTGAGATGAGTATGCGGGCATACCAGATTAGATAAGATTAGGAATGAAGATATTCGAGGAAAGGTGGGAGTGGCACCCATGGAGGACAAGATGTCGGAGGCTAGGCTAAGATGGTTCAGGCATGTGAAGAGGAGAAGAAGAGATGCCCCAGTAACGAGGTGTGAGGTTGACCTTGGTGAATATGAGGAGAGGTAGTGATAGAGGTGGCCAAAGAAATATTAGGGACAAGTGATTAGGCGTGACATGGCGCTGCTTCAGCTTACCAAGGACATGACCCTTGATAGGAGGGTGTGGAGGTCGAGGATTAGGGTTAAAGGTGGGGACAAGTGATTAGGCAGAACATGGCGCTGCTTCAGCTTACTGAGGACATGACCCTTGATAGGAGGGTGTGGAGGCGAGGATTAGGGTAGAAGGTTAGTATGTAGTTGAGTGATTTTCTTTTTCTTTTCCATACTAGGAGTATTAGCTAGAGTTTGGCCATAGATTTCCAAATTTTTTTAAAAAATCTTTTGGGTGAAGTTTGGTGTGAAGATGAAAATCTGTTTGGACATAATTTTTCAAAACATATTTTACTTTTTTTGCTAAAAAAATATGAAATGTGACTTATACACATAAGTTCTAAAAACTATCAAAAATACCCAACAATACCAAACAAACAAACTTGCTAATCCTGTATATGCAGAACCTTCATCGATGTCATTCATTATCATTATCACAAACCATAGTTTTGAACATAAATAAGTTTGGTAGTGAACTACATAATACACTATCCTAAAACAATAACCTGATATTTTAATATCAACTGCTAATAACACAATTACTAGCCACAATAATTCGTCAAAATGCAATAATATTACAAGATTCATCAGTCCAAAAAGAAAATGATAGTAATTAGCTAGTGGATTAGTTGGGTCATAATTGAGGATGCGCTTTTTTATAAAATACAAAAAATTGGGGTAATTTTTGAAATTGTTAAAAAATCCAGAAGTAATATTTTGGGCCAAAAACAGGTCTAGAGTTAGTTTTGGGATTTGAAAATTTTGTTTTCAAAATCTACCAAAACATGGATAAAATTTATAAACAAACATGTTTTGCCAAAAAAAATTTGGAAAAAAACTTGGAAAAATCTGTGGCCAAACGGGGGCTTAGTGTTAGTCTGGTATTTTTCTTATCCCTAGATTGCTATTACTACTACTACCTGTTGTTTTGTTATTATCTTTCGCTTCGATTTTCTTAGTATCCTGTTGTTACTACTTGTTATTACTGCTTCTTTTCATCGTTCGTTGAGCCGAAGATCTATCAAAAACAACCTCTCTACTTCCACAGGATAGGGGTAAAATCTGCGTATACACTACCCTCCCTAGACTCCACTTGTGGGATTCACTAGGTTGTTGTTGTTGTCGTTGTTCTCCGAACAAAGAGAAAGCAAGTTAAACCTCTATCATTAACTGCATCCAAGATAGGCGTGTTGTCAACAACAGAACTAACCAGTTCATAATTACTTTGCTTAGCAATTCCAGCAGCATTTAGGTCGGCATTGATTCTCAGACCATAAGCAAAGTCTTTTAGAGGGCCAACATTGATCAGGGAATCCCTCACTGCAAATGAGAATGCCTTCTACAATCACCGAAAATCATGTAAATGATGAGGAATGACAGAGGATGATATTAATGATAAAGAGGCGAAAATAAAATAGCCAAGAAGCCATTCTGTAATCATAAATCGTGATAAATAGCAAAAGCTCCAAGTAAAGAATTATAAAGTTTTATAGACAACTTATTATTCTCCCAATTTTACATGTGTGCTTCAATATTCCGTGAGTCTAAGGTGTCATGATCTTTTTCTAGTAAGTAGTAGGGTGTCGTATGATTAATAGACATGATAGTATACAGGAAAAAATAAAAAAAGTAAAAAATAAAATAAGTGCACACATTAAGCAAATTCTGCAAGGTGGCGACAAACATGAAAAGGAACAAGCCATCCAGAAACTATGAAATACTGGGTACACAAACATGACGAGACAACAGCTTTATGAAACTTCAGTGTGCTATATCATCAAAACAAAATATTTACATAATGATATATTGAAACATTACAAAGTTCCATCAACCAGTGTTGGTAAGGACTCGATTAAAGCGCGCCCTGAAGCTCAGTAAAGCCAGGTTTCCTATTTGACGCTTTAGTGTAGGCATCCAAGTCCTAAGGTGTGTGCATCTTCGCCATAGGGTTTTGTCTTTAGATCACAACACTAGATAATAAACACAGTTGACAAAGTGATACATTTGTGGTCAAGAAAATGCCATGACTTGTATTTTAGGATTAAGAATAATAAATTAGAAATTTAGTATAAGAAAACTAGTCAGTAAAACTCTAAAACTACATCTTTTCATCTAAATCAAAATTTTAAATGGTCTTTGGACTTGATTGACATGATTTTACCTATATATATATATAGTTTTTACATTCTTTTTCCACATAATTATTCTTTTTCATTATAGTTACATTTTCTTGCATTACATTTCTACTTTTGAATTTTTTGCCATTGGGGTTTCCTTTGCTAAAACCAACACTACTTTAATCGCGCTTTGCGCTAAAAGCTCCAGACTCTAGCACTTTTTTGCGCTTCTTGCTTTGACTACTCTGCCATCAACTCATAACTTGCTTCAGAACACGTCTCTCGTTTCTTTTATTTTTTTACTTATTTATCCTTACCAGAATACTAAATGCTACACCTAAGTGCAAAAATACATTTGATATAAACAGCAGATGTCCTTGTCATTTTACTAATTATTCCCAATTAAACTCATATAGCATAGTGGAAATAACCTCTTACAGAAAAGCAAGGTGAGGCCGCGTACAATAGACCCAATGTGGTCTGGTTCTTCTCCCAGATCCCCACATAGCGGGAACTTAGTGCACGGGCCAGCCCATCTTTTTAAAATCATATATCATAACAGAATATAGTCTTCACAGAACACAATTCACCTGTGCTGATTGTGCATTATTTGGAGCTGTACCATATAAGGAAAGCTCTTCGCCATTAATCATATCTTGCAATGCATCCGAGGATGACCTTCTTAGCCTCTTCGCAGAGGGAGTGTCACTTTCAATATCTCCAACCTGCACATGTAAGCAAATAGCAACAGGATTTTAGAGAAAGCAAAGCCAGTACCCTTAGAAAGAGAGGCAGAAAGGCGAGTAACACATAGAACCACTAAGCATTATTAAACGACTAGAAATTGTGAAACACCCAATGAATGTGCATCATTTCAAAAGTAATTTTTAATCTATTCATATCAAGTACAAATTAATTTTGAAGTAAAAAAATTTAAGTAGTAAGTTTGAAGGAAACATAAAAATAAAAAATAGGAAAGAGTGTGCAAAAAACTAGGGACTGCAGTATATTGATGAGCCTATAATTTTTATGATGGCAGAGGGATCGTGGACGCAATCTGGGGTACAGCCATTCAGGAAAAAACAAGCAATGGAGGCAGTTACTCTAAGGGGTATATATTTATAAGGTTATAGATTACGGAAAACAGAGTACATATAAATAAGGAATATGCAGAAGAAAAAAATAAACTGTAAAATACCAGCAAAAAGATCAAGCTACTTCAGCTAAAATCATGACACAAACCTCTTCCTGCACCCCAGGAGGNGGAACACGTCTCTCGTTTCTTTTATTTTTTAACTTATCTATCCTTACCAGAATACTAAATGCTACACCTAAGTGCAAATATATATTTGATATAAACAGCAGATGTCCTTGTCATTTTACTAATTATTCCCAATTAAACTCATATAGCATAGTGGAAATAACCTCTTGCAGAAAAGCAAAGTGAGGCTGCGTACAATAGACCCAATGTGGTCTGGTTCTCCTACCAGATCCCCGCATAGCGGGAACTTAGTACACCGGACAGCCCATCTTTTTAAAATCATATATCATAACAGAATATAGTCTTCACAGAACACAATTCACCTGTGCTGATTGTGCATTATTTGGAGCTGTACCATATAAGGAAAGCTCTTCGCCATTAATCATATCTTGCAATGCATCCGAGGATGACCTTCTTAGCCTCTTTGCAGAAGGAGTGTCACTTTCAATATCTCCAACCTGCACATGTAAGCAAATAGCAATAGGATTTTAGAGAAAGCAAAGCCAGTACCCTTAGAAAGAGAGGCAGAAAGGAAAGTAACACATAGAACCACTAAGCATTATTAAACGACTAGAAATTGTGAAATACCCAATGTGCATCATTTCAAAAGTAATTTTTAATCTATTCATATCAAGTACAAATTAATTTTAAAGTAAAAAATTTTAAGTAGTAAGTTTGAAGGAAAAATAAAAAAACAGGAAAGACTGTGCAAAAAACTAGGGACTGCAGTATATTGATGAGCCTATAATTTTTATGATGGCAGAGGGATCGTGGGTGCAATCTAGGGTACAGGCATTCAGGAAAGAAAAAAAAATCAATGGAGGCAGTTACTCAAAGGGGTATATATTTATAAGGTTATAGATTACAGAGAAAAACAGTACATATAAATAAGGAATATGCAGAAGAAAAAAATAAACTGTAAAATACTAGCAAAAAGATCAAGCTACTTCAGCTAAAATCATGACACAAACCTCTTCCTGCACCCCAGGAGGCAAAATTGACCCTCCCAGACCACAAGTAAACTGCACGAGCAAACTATCTCCTAGGCGACTGCCCAAAAAGAATAATGAGTCTCCAATTGTTGTAATTCCCTGGAAATAAGAGAAACCCGTTGGAATTGCACAAACAAACACAGAGCAAGACATACATAGTATATATATATATATATACATACATATATATATGTATATATAGAGAGAGAGAGTAGATCCATAAATTAAAACAATCCAGAATTCAAGAGGTAGCCAACCGATGTAAGTACTGAAGCTCTTGATTTTGAAAGGTCGAGCTTTTGAACGATTCTGCAGAAACATTAAAATAAAATTAAAATTGCAGCACATCTCTTCAAACTCTAGGTAATAGCCAATCAAAAGCTGTAAAATGTAGCAAAGCAGGAAATTTCTAAACTCCTGGTGATAGGTAAAAACAAACTGTATATGTTCAACTAAATTACCACTTTGATTCAATGCATCAGGACATGAGGAAAAAAAAAGATTCTTTGATCAGGACAAGAGAGAAAATTTTCTCAACTCTCAAGTCAACATAAGAATATATTCTTTTTTTTTTTTGAATTGGTAACTATTGTATATATTAAAAACATCAGTACATAGGTTGCACTGAAAACCAAATTTACATGAAGAAGATTAGTAGATGTTCTAATTCGAGACCTAGCAAGATCCTAGTATATCTATGATTGTCAATGTATCTTCTATGTAAATCTGTTTGCACCAAAAACAAAAAAGAAGAATACAATTGAGTTTGATCTTCTGCACTGGATTGCTTCTATCTTCAAAACATCTCGCGTTCCTTTCCCTCCAAACTGTCCACCAGATACAAGCCGGGACAGTCCTCCATCTATCTCTACTAGTTGCTTCAGCTCCAGCTTCTTCCCAGCTATAAAGGACATCTTTAAGCCTGTATGGCATTGACCATGAAATACCCCTAAGACTAATAAAAATTTTCCACAGTTGGTCTGTAATCTTGCAATGTAGAAACAAATGTGTGACAGTTTCAGCATTTTCCCCGCACAGAAAACATCCTAAGCACAGAGAAATTCCCCTTTTTATGAGGTTATCCTGGGTTAATACCGCCTCCTTTGCTAGTAGCCAAGTGAAGCAAGCTACCTTGTATGGAATCTTTGTTTTCCATATATGTTTCCAAGGCCATGGGTCCACCTGTTGATTATTATGATTCAAAATCTTATATGCATCCTTCACCCGGTAAACCCCTCTGTTGTGCCTCTTCCACCAAAGTGAATCAAAACCTTCCTGTAATACTTTAAATGCTTCCAGCTCTTTGTAAAGGTCAGCTAATCTTGTTATCTCCCAGTCATTCAACTGTTTTCTTAGAGCGATTTCCCGTCCTTGATGACTCCTCATATCAGCTACTGTCTTATGCTGGTTTTATGCTAAACCAAACATATCGGGGTATCTTTCCTTTAAGCTTCCGTTTCTTAACCAGTTATCATTCCAGAATGATGTGTTCCTTCCGTTGTTCACTCTTATGGAGAAGTGATTCTTCATTATAGGCCAAAGTTCTCTGATGGATTTCCACACACTTACTCCATATGATGTTCTGACTTTTTTTGACACCCAGTTATTTTCCTCACCATACTTTTGATCACTTTGCCCCATAAAGATTGGGGTTCTTGAGAGTACTTCCATAACCATTTCATTCCAAGAGCCTTGCTATGATTCTTCAAATTCCTTATACCTAAACCACCTTGTTTTTTATCCATTGTGAGTGTCTTCCATTTAACTAAATGGAAGACCTTTTNCTAGTGTGTGATAACCAAGCTGCTCTTCATGTTACGTCAAATCCGGTGTTCCATGAGAGGACTAAACACATTGAGATCGACTGTCACTTTGTCAGAGAAAAAATACTTTCAGGAGAAATTGTTACAAAGTTTGTAAAGTCGAATGATCAACTAGCAGATATTTTCACTAAGTCTCTTATATGTATGTATATATATATATATGTATGTGTGTATATATATATATATATATATATATATATATATAGAGAGAGAGAGAGAGAGAGTAGATCCATAAATTAAAACGATCCAGAATTCAAGAGGTAGCCAACCGATGTAAGTACTGAAGCTCTTGATTTTGAAAGGTCGAGCTTTTGAACGATTCTGCAGAAACATTAAAATAAAATTAAAATCGCAGCACATCACTTCAAACTCTAGGTAATAGCCAATCAAAGGCTGTAAAATGTCGCATAGCAGGAAATTTCTAGACTCCTGGTGATAGGTAAAAACAAACTGTATATGTTCAACTAAATTACCACTTTGATTCAATGCATCAGGACATGAGGAAAAAAAAGATTCAATGTATCAGGACAAGAGAGTAAATTTTCTCAACTCTCAAGTCAACATAAGAATATATTCTCAAAAAACAAAAAAGAAAATACTAAGCAACGAATTCCTAAATTTTTCCTTCATAAATTAGTGGGCAAAAAGGCATTACCTCCCATCATACATAATTGTCAGAAGAAGTAGCTCCCCTGTTTTAGTGGACAGCATTGCCACATCATTTGCTAACCAAGTTGCATTAGCTGCATCTAACTCCACAGTAAAAGATGATCTTGGCATTTCTTGACTAGAAGTAACCATAAGGACGTATCACAAAATTAGATAAAAACCTAGGACCCATTCTCATTGTAAAAACTGATCAAATCAACAAAGTGCCTTGAAATGAGCAATCAAGGGGGTGGATCAGTGCACAATGACTAAAGAAAAGGTAAAGGAGCATGAAAAATGGCATACACTTAGGATAGAGTACAAATAAAACCATATTAAGTGTGAAGGAAAGTTGTAAATCAGAAAAAAGCAAGCTCATAAAATAAAACAAAAGGGTGGTATTCACGACAGCCAGCACAAAGAAAATAAGTCTAATTCATTTAAGAATCCAAAGATTTAAATCAATTCTGATACAGACTAACACTGAGAACTAGCCGTATGCAGCAAATAAAAGCAAACAACCACCATTTTCAAGACTATTGTACATGAGCTAGCTTTTGAGGTTGAGTTAGGCCCTAGGTTCATTTCTTTACATGTTATCAGAGTTTACCACTATGTTATGTTGTCCACGCTCCAGATGTTTAACTTTGAGTGTGCACCGTACGAAGATGTTACAGACTTAAGAGTCTCACAATAGTTGACAGTATAGGTTGTTGTTTCTTTATATAGTCTTGTGCAACCTGGTTGAGTTTTCCTAAGGTCCATTTTCTTAACAATCTCAAATGTTAAATGTACTTCCAGCGGATAGAAAGAGAACTTTTTCTTTTTCAATATTCAAGTAGAAACAAAACATGCCATGTTATGTTATTGGCCATATTTATGATCCTAATAAATGAAAGTGAAGCTGAAGCCTGGAAGTATTTATAATTTTAGAATAGAGTGAAGCTGCAGGAATGGGTGAGGGAGAGTGCAAGGACAGTAAAAACTAAGGGAAAAACCTGCTATCACCAAAGAAGGCAAAATTGTTCAACGCCAACGAACAAGAAGATGACTGCAAAATACGCAGATCAAAGTCAGCACATGAAAATATAGTATGCAGGAAAGCTGTAAGAATATGTTGAAGGAATAAGCAGATTGTAAATCTCATGAAGATAACAGACCTGGCTGTGATAATGGATTGAGTTCGCACCAATAACAAGTACTCCACCAATAGGAGATGGCACAGCAAGAAGTTTATATGCATCATGAGGGAGATCCTGCAGAAAAAAGAGTAAGTGAAGTCTAATGTAGGAAATATATAATTAAATGGAGTAAGGTTCAAGCAGATTTTGACACTGTAATATCCATAATAAGCATCCCAAATTCATGAAATGATAAGTTACGATGAATGTCCATCTTAGTGACACAGTTCAGCACTGGTTGAAGAGACGAGAAGAACACGAGAGGAAAAATAAAAGGAAAATGGAAAACGAAAAGGATTAAAAAAAACTAAGAGATAACATGACATTTAACTCTCAGCCTAAGATGTTAAGAAAACTAACAGCGGGCTGAAGCTTCTTACCGAAATGAAAAAGCAGGTTCATTGTTCTACATTTTATAAAGTTCCAGAATAAAACGTTCTGTTAAAGAGGGAAGTAATTTTGCACTATGCTCTTTAAATATTTTTGTGAAATATCATGACATTTATTTGAATCATCATCCTTTGAGCACCCAAGTGTCTACCAAATCAACTCTCTTTGATAAGTTCAAATCACCTTTCCATTACCAAGTCCTAGTATGCAACATCTTGTTTTCCACACTGTAGCACCTTTATCTCAAAATTACCTTTTGTTAAGCAACATGGTTTTTACTTTTGTACTGCAGGAAACAAAAGTAATAAATCTTGCACCACAGGAAACGACTAATCGGTGGCAACAACATCGTAACTCTCAGGTTCAGATTGTTGGTAGAGGAAGATATTTTGAGGGAAGGAAATGTAAAGAGACTGAGAACAAAACAAAAAAAAAAAAAAAAAAAAAAAAAAAAAAAGGAGGAAGAATACAAACAAGGTCAAAAGAAGTACTATGGAGCTGAAGGCCATCATCAAGTGTATGTATAGTGGTACTTCTTAAAAATAGCGGAAGTAGACCCTTTTTAACTTTTAGCTGCCTTCCTTACCTAATTTACACCAGCAAACCCAAAACCGAAAAAGAAAGAAATCTGATACAGTTCTTTTTGTAATAACCGAAAAATCCCCAAGGGCTAGTGGAGTACGGTTTGAAACTCAGTGGATAATGGACCCACCTGTCTACCTTCTCCTCTTAAATACCAAGCTTTAAAATCTGATGCAGTTATCATCAGTAAATAGCTCATATAGAGTATTATCCTTTCCCAGTTTTCTCTTTTCACTTTGCTTCAAGCTAATAAGAACATCTATAAAAAATGCTGGTAAAAT